TGCTATTAATATTCCATAGCCCACTGTTCATAAAATAAAATGAGACGGACTTATGCTCCACGATTATTCCAAATGGCAATGTGATGGTGATGTTGCACACTCTATTGTTATGTAAACCAAAATATAAAATAAGCATATTATATCAACAAGTACAAATGAAAAAAAAGTTCCAAAATTATCCATAAATACGTTTGTTAATAAGAATCATCATAACCTATGAAGAAATAAAGTATCCATTAATGTTTTAGATAGAAAAGCCAGTATTATCAAAGTAATATGTATGTATATAAGGTAAGTAGATTTTAAATCTAGTGCTTCACTTCAACAAATAAATGTGCTTAATCTATTGTCTAGAAAAATGTAAATAAGTTTGAATTCACATAAGCAATGTGTTTTCAATTCAAAAGTCAATAATCACCATTTGGATATACATTTATAAAGAATGCATGCTATGCAAAAAACAAATAACACAAACTTAAGTTTTAAATTCCACATCTTCAAGTTAAATAAAACAATTAAAGACCTTCTAGCTTATTGTAGGGAGCTCTGATATTGTAGTGCCTAAGCTACTTGACTGTAAACCAGAAGGCTGGTGGTTCAAACCCATCAGCCACTCCTCGGAAGGAAGGTTAGGCAATCTACTTCTGTAGTGATACTGCCTGGGAAACCCAAGGAGGGGTCACTATGAGTTGGATCCGATTTGACGGCACATAACAACAACATCTTATTTTAGATAACTTACTTCAGATATTCTACTCTGTTTTACAAGGTCAGAATGAGTTGGAATTGACTTGATGACAATGAGTTTTGTTTTTAGTTTTTAATTCACACATGAATTTAATTTATAAGATTTTATTTTAAATGAACCAAGAAATCATATAAGGGTAGTTATGATGGAAGTATTTAAAGAAAATAATTTTCCTATATATAATTTTACTCTATATAAAATTTTGTGGCTTTATGGGCTCCCAAATTTACCATCATCACAGCCTTTAAACTTGCCTTCAGAAACCTTATAGATCTAAATCAAACTATTCTTAGACTAAAAGAGAGTCAAATGGATTGGTTGCAATATGAAAATAATTTTTTGATGTGGTTTTTCATGAGGCCTTAGAAATCAGTTGATTCAGTCACAATGAAATAGACAGTATTTTGTGGCATTTTTAAATATAAAATAACACTTATTTTTCTTTTTACCTTTCTCAATAAGCTGCTTTGGCTTTGTGTTGAACACCATGGGCAAGTTTGAGGGGATGAATACTATCTCCCACCTTGTAAGGTAGAGTTCTGGAAAGTTACCCCATTTCTTATGCGTATTTCTGATTTCTCCATGACTATTTATATTTCCTCAGCTATGAAGCACACTTTAGCCTTTGTCGTTATAAATGTGCTTTTCACATTGGTTTTGAAAGAGTTAAACAAACATGGAGTCTAAATCTCCAACCTCACACAGAATCTTCAGCCCATTTATCTAATTTCTCCAGCAATGACTTTACCACAACCACATGAGATATGGTCATTTCTCATATTTTTGGTTCAGTTCAGTTGTCATCTCAGCAGCATTTGATTCTATTTACATCTTTTCTTCTTGAAATATGACCTTTACTTGACTTCTATGATATCAGCAAACCTCTCGTGTTTTTTTTAGCAACTACAATGTCTTAGTTTCATTCGGTTGTTGTGTTTCTGTATAATATTATAGTTGCTTGACAGTTCTTAACCCTCTACTCTTCAGTCATTCAAGAATTCTTCCCTGAATATCTATTGTGTACCAGTCATCTTTCTAGATATGGATGAAACAGCTATGAGAAAGACAGACACTAACTGCTGCTGATTGCCTTAAGATCTCTCTCTGTCTGGTTCTATCCTGAACCATGCTTCAAATACCATCCATCTGTTGGTTGACTTTTACATGATGTATGTTGCCAAACCATGCCTCTCTTTTCATCTCTGCATCCAGATAATATAACTGACTACTTGTTATTTCAAACTTTATAAATATTAATATGTGATCCTCCCTCTCCAAATCCTGCTCATCTTGCAAGATTCACGATCTTGAGAAATATCCAAAAAGACCCAGTTGCCCAGACAAGAAACTTGAAAGTCATCATTGTCTACACCCTCTACTGATTTAATATTTCTTCAAGTTCACCTGATTCCCTATCTCTTATCACGTATCATCAAGAGTGATATGTCAAATATGCCTAGCTATTCACATAAATCATCTACTCACCATGATGCTTTTCAGATTTTCTTTTAAAATTACTGGCTAGATTTTTCTAGAAGTCTGGGTTGTCCAGGTCCCAGCTCCCTCTGTATCCTTTTCTGCAGTTATACTATTTTGTTCCCTCCATTCGAGTTACAGTTTCTATAATTCCAAAGCAGATCAAGTTCTTTCTTGAATCAGAGACTTACTCTCTCTAACCCCTTTCTCTGAAGGTTCGTTGCCTGCACATCCTTTTTGAAATGTCACTTTCTTCAGGAAAATTTTGCTAAATCTAATCTTACTACTGTAATTTAGGTAACCTTATCATACCTTTTCAGAGCACCAGCATACATATCTCTGAGTTGTAATTATTAAATAGTTAATATAAATTTTATTTAATGTCTTTTCCCCCTATTGACTATGAGGTCTTTGAGTGAAGGGGCCAGTTCCATACTTTTTACAGATAAAACTATGTACTCACCTCAGTGTTTGTTGCATGGTACGACACAAGTATTTGTGCAATAAAGGAATGAATGGATAATTACAGAGCCAGAGAGATTACATTTAGAGATGAAGAAATGGATATAAAAAGAAGTTAGGTGACAGAAGCAGAGCTGGAAATAGAAAGCAGAATCCTTTCTACTTTCCTGATAGGTCTTGCCCTCAGCTAACTCAGAAATTAAGAACAGAAATATAAAATGCTCTTAGAGTAAATGCATCACATGTGTCTTGACTATTATTGTGCATTTATGCTTTTTCTTAATTTTATTTTACATTTTATCTTTACTTATAGTTTTTTATTATCAATAAATGAATATAAAAATAGCAGGGACTCTGATTATAGCATTAAGTAACCTGCTTAAAGTTTTTTTTTTTTAATTTTGTGTTTTATCCATAAATGTTACTCAAATGTTGCTTTATACTTCATAATACATTCATTTCCTTATTAACAAAATTCGTTGTTTCTTCTAAATGTATGAACTAAATTAACATTTAGGAGGATGGATACATGACTATTGCATATATACTTCCTTTAGAGATTCTGACTCAGTTTGAGAATCATATTTCTAACGTGTTCCTTCTATCTGCATAGAATATAAATACTATATACAAAATGTGCAAAGCATAATTACTACATATACAACGTATTGTAATCATAGAGTATTGATGTTTCAAACTCAGGGGTGATACATTCAGCAGATTCAACCTGTCTGCTTATTTTGGCACAATATCTTTTGAGACCATCAGGTTTATCATAATGACTTAAGTAGCTCAGAGATTGAACAGATTATTTAATCTCTTAAAATACTATCTGTAAAATGAGAATAACAACTATCTCTTGACTCAGTCACCGATGTACGAATAAAAGGATATAATATAGAAATACTTAGTAACTAAAAAGTAAGACTACAGTGTAAAATATTTGCTTTATTTCTAGAAGCTCCTATCTTCCTGGTTTTAAATTATAATTAATAGCATACAGTAATTGATATAAGGAGCTCTGGTAGTGTAGTGGGTAAGCCATTTGGCTGCTAACCAGAAAGTCAGTGTTTCAAACCCATGAGCTGCTCTTCAGAAGGAAGATGAGACAATCTATTTCCATTAAGATTTACAGTCTTAGAAACCCAATGGTTCTCGCTATGAGTTGTAATAGAATCAATGGCAGTGGGTACTTGGTTTTGGGTTAATAATTGATATGGGCAACACAGTCCCTGATATTAATTACTTTTAAATCTTAAATCCAAAGACAATACTTTAAAATCAAAGGAGTAAGCCTATAAAACTAATTTGAATTTTTAACAACTGATACATAATATAACAAAACCATAAATTGAGAGTAATATCAATTTGAAATTATAAGAGGGTTAATTATCATAACTGACCTGAAAAATTTATTTATTTTCTAGACTCAAATATAATATGTGCCAAAAATGAAACTCTATTATAATAAGACATAAATATACTATGTTTTAATGAAAAAATATGCCATATATATATATATATATATATATATGATTTTCAATAAATTCCAAAGAATAATACATGAAGAAAAATTAATATGACAACTCATTAACAAAAGTAAGTGTGATTTAAAACCAGGATAACTGTCTGCATCTTTACTTCTATAATATTTCTCTAAAATACATATAGTATTTTTTTTTTCCTGTGAACTTTGATATTACTAACATGATGATATAAGCACTATTACCTAAAAAACATAGAATGCACCAAATGCTGCAGCATATTAGTAGTGTGTTATGAATACCACCTGAGAACATCCTGTCAGGATGTAAACTTCTTTGAAATTCTAGAGATGGCTCTCTTTATTAAGTGTACTTGTGTGATTGATTTTATCTTTTCAAAATCACCTTGCTTGGTTAGACATGGAAGAGTTCATCATTATCTTTGTTCACATATCCCCAGAAGTGGAGAACCAGTACCTATATGCATTGTTTTCCCTTGTTTGCCAAGTTTCTTCTGTTATCAAAAGAAAATTCCCAAATCAATTTTCATCACTCACATCTCCTTTCCATTCTTACCCTCAGTTTATCCTCTCCCTACTTCTTAAACCACTAAAGCTGTCAAAATGTATTTTAGAATTTAAGCAATATACAATAGTAAGATAGATTGAGAGCCCTTGAGTATAACATATCATGACAACCATGGTTAGAACCAAGAATTTACATTTGTCTTTATTTTTTTTCCAATATTATGAAAAAGATTGTAAGTGTTACAAAAAAGATGTGCCATATTTATTTCTTGCCTTATAACACATTGCAAACAGTTTGCTTACCTTTAATAATGTTGGGCTTTGGTGGCATGCTGAACTCATAGACTGTTGGTTCAGAATATCCCAATCTATTGGCTGCTGTAATTTGCACTTCATACCCCATTGTCCACTGTAGATGTTCCAAAATGATGTGATCTTTATTTCCCTGTACTTTTTTCTCTAGCCATTGGTCTTCCTTATCTTTCTGTAAAAGTATTAAAATTTATTTAAACAATATCCATGTACTAAAGTTCTGATTCTCTAAAAATCTAGTTTATCTTGGAACAGCACAAGTAGTTTTATTATTATTTTTTCATTAAAGCATTTTTCTCATGCAAAGGGATAAAAGAAGTTGCTATATAAATGAATTCACTATCATTTCTAGCATTAATCTATAATAAATATATTGTTCATATTAGCTAAAGAGAAACTATTTTATAATTAATCCTTGATGATTCAGTGGTTGATAATTCATTTCCATTAAGTTTGTAACTTTTTTTCCATCTTATATCAATTTGTTTTTTCGGCCTCTTTTTTTATTGTTGTTGTTATTTGCCGTCGAGTTGGACTCGACTCATAGTGACCCCTCCTTGGGTTTACGAGGCAGT